CAGCTGTACTTACATATTTGCAAAACCACCTAGGCACAATTTGGTGATTCTTATAGAAGAAAAGAAATGACGACTTACAATTGTAAAGAATTTTACTTTTAATTAAGTATTTATCCCAAAAATCAATGAATAGAATATTAAATGGAATCAAGAAATATTAATAAAAAATCAACAGAAGAATTAAAATCAAACAAGAATTGTATTAGAATGCAATAGAACAGAAGAAGCTCATAGAAATAAAATAGAATAATTCTATTCATAGAAATATAATTGAGCAGACCAGAACAGGGAAATTTCATAGAAATGGAATAGAAGAAATTTGAAAGAAGACTTGAATTGATATCAATAAGTAGAATGATAATCTGAAAATCAATAATAGCCTATATTTTTCTTTCTTCTTTCTTTTGTTTTCCTTTTTTCCACCCTCCCCCTTTTTTATGTTTGGTTGGAAAATTTCATAGCTACTGACTTAAGAATAGATTTAATTTAAAACTATTTTTCCTTACAGCAACTTTGTGACAGATGTGTTTCTGCAAAAAATTTACCACAATTTCTTCGACTGCAAGGCAAAAAATCCCACTCATGAATATTTTAAAATTTAAAAAAATAACACAATTTACCTAGCCATTGGAACTTGGAATTCAACAAAAGAAAAAAAAACTAAAAATGTTGATGTTGGTTGTTAAAATGGAACTCTTATGCACCTGGCTTGGTTCATTCTAAAAGTTTTGGCAACTTGTGCAAGGCATATGCAACTGCCTTACACAAAGCCTAGCCCAAAACCTTTCTCTTTTCTCCTAAATTAAATATTATTATTTTTTTCTTATTTACCATATTTGCTGTCGTATAAGACGCAAATTTTTTCTTTGAAAATAGGTTTGAAAAACAGAGGGCGTCTTATATGTCAATACGTCATTTGTGACTGGGTAAAAGCTTCATGAGATGCTGTGAAAACGAAGTGTGGTTTTTAAATCATTTTAAGAAGTGTGGGCAGTAGTAAGCATGGGATGTTCAGAGAACAATTTGTTGTATGAGGACTCAGATGATGATTAGAAGGGTTCAACGCGGACTCTTTAACTTAGCTCTGGAGATGAAAGACTGGGTTTTTATGAAGGAGATTAAAATGTGTTCTTTTCCAGGTAGTTTGGGTATTTACAGAAAGTATTACTCTGTATTTGTATCACTTTATATTTACAATACTGTAAAGGCATTATAATGATCAGTAATAAAGTTTTATCCTTCAAAAATATGTATAAAAAGGGAGGTGCGACTTGAACGCCGGCAAGTACGGTATTTAAAATTACTTATTACTAAATCAGAACAGTATTGATATTCTTGTAATTGCTAATAACATATGGTACAGATAAATTACTGAATGAAAAATGAAAAGTGGACTAAAATAATATTTTTCAGCTGCTTAAAAATCTTATACTATTTATTAAAACTTAAGTTACAAACCAACGACTGGAAAGAAAGTATATAATAATTTACAAGAATTTGGAAACAGTGCTGTGTATATAATTAAGAAATCAGCAAACAAGAGTTTCCAAAGAGTTAAAAGTTACTAAAATAGTTCTCTCTCATGTGTTCAATCCATAGTATTAATATTTTTTTTAACAAATATAAAAAAGTATTGAATGAAAAATGAACGAATATAAAACAGACAGTAAATTGTGATTTTACACAAAAATTAATTAAGTAGCCTAATGTCTATAGAAGAATTCATGTCTTCAAATATTTTTAAAAACAAGCCTGTAAGTCAAACAAAATTTAAGACTACTAAGCGCAGTAGTAGTAGTATATTTAATTGATTTGTTACAATGTATTTTCAGAAAAGAATTACATGAAATATTAAAAATAAAATACAATAAAATGCTTATGTGGTAAAAATTTAGTGAATTAATCTCAAAGAATTTGATATCAATTATAGTAATAATTACAATATGTATCAATAGATACATTAAACATTTAACTAACACAAAAGAAGAATATAAAATTTAGGGATTGGCTGTGTTCCAAATTTAATGAATTATTTTTATGCATGACTGAAAATACTGATACACTGGTGTCCAAAAGGTAAGCATAATTGATAATTGTGATATAAAAGAAGGAATGTTAATACGAATGGCGCGAGGAAAAAGTGATCTGTGAGTGGTAAAATGGTTATGAAATATGGAAAGCAAAATCAAAAAGAACGATAATTAATTAATTTTATTATCCAAAGTAGCAGTTGGCCGTCAAAAAACTGAGAATAGCAAGGGTTCACACTTTAAAGAAAAAAAGAAAGAAGAAAAACATTATAAACAAATTACTGATGCTGCCAGTTTAATAAGGCGGTAGTCACCTATGACAGCCAGGCATGACTGCACAGAGATTTACCAACTGGTTATGAGATGATGAAGGAGTTGTGGATCAACGGTTCCAAGCTTTTTCTTGGCGAGTGTCTCTTCAGGCTGTAATGAGCTTGGTGGGTGCGAAAGGGCGACGGCAATCTTGTCTCCGAGGCATATCCATACATGCTCAATAGGATCTAAATCAGGGGAGTCTCAGGCCATGCAGGCGCTGGAGTTTCTGTTCAAGGAGTCATCACATACAGCACCGCTCGGTGACATGGAGCATTATCATCCATGAATATGAAGTCAGACCGACAGCACCTCGAAAACAAGCGGAAAATAAGCTCAGGGAACTTCGTCTCTGTATCTTTAACCAGTCCACCGACCCCGTGTCAAAGGAATGGAGGTCTGTGCGGCCGTTCATCCTGAGTCTGCCAATACCAGTACTCCCCTTGATGGAAACATGATGTCTTTCCGATATGTGTTCTTGGTTTTCTTGGTGCAAAAAGTGTTTCCAAATCTTTCACATATCGTACCCAATGAGAATCAGAAACTCAGACTCTAAACCGGGATCGTAACTGAACATTTCAATTGGCCCACACTCCAATGTTGAATTCACACCCAGTTCAAACGAGAGCAGTTCTGCGCAGATGTGAGGGGAATACAAAACTGTGGTATTCTGGCAACAGCCGATGGATGAGTCTCCTGTAAAAAAAGTTGTCTCGAAATTCGTATGCCTGTGGGACTGTGAGCGCCGAACCAGTGCTCTGGCAGTACTGCCCCTCTGACGTCGCGCACTTATTACCAGAGATCGGTCTTGGCGAGGGGTGTGATTCTGGTTCGACATGATACTGGTCTCGGGACCATCTCCTTCTTTGAAACTTCTGCACAGTTGATAGCCAAGACTGTTCTCATTCAGAAGGAATTAGAGATACTACAGTTGTGATCGTCCAGATTCCAGCATCCAACGATCTTCCTTTCGCAAACATCTCCCATCTGGCATCTTTGTGCCATCATTACCCTTGTTGATGGTTTTAACAATGTTCTTTTGCACAGCAGTTGCTGAAACTTGTTGAAACTTAAAAACCTATGCTTGCGTGAATCGGTTCTCTGCGTTCCGAATGCACAGGTTTGTTTCAAGCCAGGACGTAGGGGTCGGATGAAAAAAGTTTTGCATAAACCCAATGTTCTCCTCCACCCAATTACTATCTGCACGAAATTTGGAATACTTTTACGAATATTTACTCCATGTTTTTCACATTTTACAATTTATGTTTAACTTTTGGACACCAGTGTACAATGGCAGACATCTATTTAATATACACTATTGTCTAACTTTCTTCCACCAATGACAGGGCAGCCAGTCAAATGGATTTTAACATGTTGACTGTTGGCCCTGTCAACACGTTTGGTCATTTACAGTTCTGATGGAAAGAGCATTCCTGGAGGATGCATCCGGGAGACTCCCAGATCCATCCTCCAAGAGATCCTTTCTTTCCCAACCACCAACTTCTCAAGAGGACTTTTGGCTCGACAGCATTTTAAGTGTTCCCATGCTCCAAAGACACAACAAACTTACAAAACATCCATGCCTTTCCTAGGACTCGAGACTGGGCCCAAGGCTATGGCAGTTTTTCCACCAATAAAGACATGGTATCTAGATAGATGTCTAGTTTCCCCCCCCCAATGACAAAATAGCCAGCTAACTGGGATTTTGGCACATCAAACATCAGCTGTTGAGACCATCCATTAGATTCATCTTTATTGCTTGGTTTTGTGTCAAGTCCTCCAGGCTGTCCTTTGATGAATGTAATGCATAATATTATTACATTTTGCAAAAGTATAGCCTGGGGGACTTCACATAAGACCAAGTAATGAAGTCTTGCTAAAACACCTAGACACTTAATTTTTTAACTGGTAGGTAGCTAAAACATAGCGATAATTTGTAAGACATTGATAATCAAATCAATATACATGGGCAAGGACCTCCCAGATTACAAGAATGGTTACACAAACTACAGTTGGATATAATGATAGAGTCCCAAGCAATGTCAGCAACAGACTGTAGAAAGCGAACAAGCTGAATGATCATGAACAACTGTGATATGAAAGTCAATGCAGCACACATACATTATTGCTGACTATCTGTCACCATGCAATGAACCACACCTGATACTGACTTCACTGAAACTGGACCACAGCAGATAAAGACATGGTATCTAGATAGATGAATCTTGATTTCAGCTATTATGAACAATCAAGAGCAAGTCAGTTAAATTCAAAGTGATGCCAGCTTTTCGTTTATGTGGGGTTCTTGACAAATTTAAAGAACACTGTAAATAATATAAGCTCTCAGATGATTCTCTTGACAATCCCCAAAAGCGTCTTTGAATATTCATAATCTATCATATCCTTTATTATCCATTGTTTCTTCTACCCTTTTACATAAGAAAAACTATATGCCGTTGCCAAAAAAATACACTGGCAGAACAATCCAAAAAACTGAAACCTAATGTTGATCATAATCATAGCGTTCAAGTTGGAAAGTGAATTGGAAATTGTTTAATCAGCGTATAAAAGCTATGCCGTGATATTTAAAATATATGAATGATTAACAATATAAAAATTTCAGATACTTTTTTATGTCATTAAATTTATATAACATACCTTGACCACTGTTCAGTAGAGTTTCAATAGATATATTCACATCTTTTACAACAGCCTTTCCATATGGTTGACTTTTTAAAAGTATATTCAACATAAGAATGTCTTCTAATTGCTTCACTCGTAAGTTCCAATGCTCTAAATCCAATGACACTGATTCCCAATCACTCTCACCACTTTCCTCATTGTCTTTATCATTACAGCTCTTTTTATCACCATTAGCTTTCCGATGTTCAACGCTAAATGATGCTGCCATGATCACGGATACAGAACGAGCCACTACCGCCCCGATGTATGCAGCTACGTTGCCAGTTGCCTCAGAGGGTTGCACAACTGAAACCCCACCAGGAAACATGTTCTGTATTCTGAGCTTTACTATTTGGGATCTGAACCCAGAGACATGTTAGATTAATTCACAGTTTTGTTATTTATAAAAATAAAAAACTGGATTTGTAACCAAAATTCATTACTCATAAAATTACTTGCCACTTAATGAACTTATATGCTTCATGACTTGCTGCAGATTTATCCATTTATCTGCATTCGGGCAAAATCCAGCATCAGAAACCCAATGCTTGAGTAACAAGAACTATAAGGAAAAAAAATGTAACATATCTTATTTTCCCATTTTATTTAAATTTTCACATGCAAAGGAATTTTTCTGTTATTTAAAACTGATATCCTCAACACCAACATTTTTATGTGTGTCTACTTATGCATATACAGCAGATGTCGCTTAATATGATCGCAGTTAAGTTATCATTTGGATATTGTTATTGAATTGCTGGAATACCACTATTTGTATATGAAAAGATGGAAAATGCATGATTTATTGAGATTAAAAATTTCCTTAATATGACCAAAACACTATAGAATAAATTTTTTAAACTGAAGTAAAGTTGCTAGATAAGAGATAAAATCACCAAATAAGGTCAAAATAGGTCCCAAAAATTGAAAAGTGCTGCCAAATATTTTGTTTTTGATTTTAGTCAACCATTTGAAATTAGGTGAAAATTTTGGCTTAGATTTTGAATAACTCTATTGATTTGAGGATGATCAAATACAAGTCCAAGTTCAAATACAAGTTCTTAGGAGCAAAATAAATTTCTGTAAATTCTCCCCTTGGCACATTATTAAAAATTAAATAAAAAAAGAAATCCCTTTGAAAACATCCATGTTACACTTATATTGCTCTTTTGGCTAATTTTACATTCGCATGCTCTCTCAATGTCTCTCAGTCAATAAGGGATGAAGTATGCAGTATGAAGATTAAAGGTAAAGCATTGGCCAATAATTTTCAGAAATGTTATGAACAGTTTATAAACAAATACAAAAAGAAGTCCATAATCTGGACTCGTCAGGACTTCGGCGATTCCGGTTTAAGGGTTTTTCTGGATTATATATCCATCAATTTAAATCTGTAAAACAGCATGCAGAAATTATACACTTAAAAATATGAAACGTAATTTATGAAATAAAGGCATATGATCTAAAGGGTATCAAATTACACACACACAAAAAGCTTAATATTTTATTTGTTTACTTTAATTAAACATTCTTTCACTGTAAGTTGTTTATTTTGCTTCATTTTTTGTGCAAAATAAAGGCGCATGCGTAAACATTAAGCACGCATGCATAAAGCATATGAAAAAAAAAAAAAAGAGTTTGTGGCTCTGAGGTCCAGATTGTAGATCATTCCAGATAATGGACGTCCGGATTACAGACTTTGTACTGTATCTGCATTTTGTTGGTTAAAAGTCTGTGAAAGTACTCATTTTTATATTGCTTGTATTATTTATATCAAATGAAGTAAAATTTCACTGGTATTTTAAAAGAAATTTTTTCTTGTTGTTTAATGTTATCAAAATAGCTGCAGACAAATATGATAACATTAAGTGGCATCTACTGTACAGTAAAAGTCTGAAGGCTTGAGAACATTTGATAATCCAACATCATTAAAATAATAAATAATAAGTTAAATGATAAAAAAGTTAAAAAAAGTATTTATTGCTTTTAAATTGCTTAGTTTGTTGAATCCATAACAGGAAGATTAAATTTAAAAGTAAAATAAAGTATCTTACTCTTTGCCAAATGGCAATAAACTGAAGTGTGGCAGTTCAAAATATTTTAAATTGGATATCTTTCAAATTCCTGATAAATCGCTAAGCATCACCATACCTTTCTTTAAATTTGATATATTATTTTGTAAAAATAATATATAGAGGTAACATTAGGATGCAACATCTTTTTATTTGTGTAGCCATACTTATTTTTTTACATTTATTATATTATTTTGCAAATGCACACAGATAACATTTAGTGGCAGCAACCTTTTATTTGATTTTTTTCCACACTTTTTTTTAAATATTTACTACATTATTTCATTAAAATAGTTTTGGTGATAACTTTTGGTGGCAACATTTGAAAAGTAATATGAGCACAAAAATGATACAGACACAAAAGTGAGGTTTGAGACTAATAGCATCTTTGGTGGTAATAATTTCCTCTTTCCCCAGGAGAGGAAGAAGGATTTTATGAAACATAAAAATATACCCAGAGCTATCAATCTTGAAACAAATAATAATAATAAAACAGGGGGGCTCTTTTCACACTTAAAAAAAAAGACTCCAAACTGAAAAATTTGATTTAAAGCTCTTTTATAATACACTACTTGGATTAAAAAGCAAGATATAGCCTGGTTTTGAGGTAAAATATATTAGCTTAATAAATACATTTTTCTTTGCATGAAATTTTTATTTTATTTTATGTTTTTGATTAATTCCATTCAATTCTACAGCTGCCAACCTTGCGATCTGAAAAACAATTTATTTTGAAAGAAAATCCAGAGAATTTCACATTGCACAGGGATGTCATTCCAAAAGGTGCTCCAAGTTAACTTAAATTTAGTTTAAAATGCATGATTCAGGTTATTGAACAGTTTGTAATACATTCCTGATGTAAAATATATTAGTATGCAATTAGATATTCTAAATTTCATGCTCTTGGGCCCATTTCATTTTGTAAATTTTTCACACTTTTATACTGGTTAGGTTAATTGATTAGGACAAAACAACTCGAGGGCTATCTGCCCATAGGGATGGATGCCTTTATAGAGGACTTTTTAAGGGAAATTGGATCACATATAAGTTACACAAGGGAAAAACCATGTAAACCAAACATGCAGTCAACCAACCCTACACCAGGATTCAATCCCAGGTTCAACTACCAGTATTCAGTTTGGCCACTGGTAGGCTATACTTTTCTGCAGAGGAAATCTTGAATAGGAAAGAAAAGCTCCTATCTATAAGTGTACTTTTTTAAGTATAATGATAATAAAGTTAATAATTAATTCATGTGTATTATGTGTACACATTAATACACATGGATGAACTTAGAAATGTACCATTAATTAATGTAACATAAAACTAAATACAAATACTAATGGACAAAACGTTGGTTGATCTACAAATGCCTGCTATAGATTAAAACTGCGATAAAATGGAATTTAATACGAAAGAGGTTAATAAAATGTAATAGTGAAAAATATAATTCAGGTGAAAAAAATTTTTAAAAGAAAATCTGAAATATAGTATGGGTAGAACAATCAAATTTAAGTTTCATTAATTCAATAAATTTCCTTTATTGCTGGTACACACTTGTCTTAGTAAAGGCTAAAATTTAAAAACTGGGAGATTTGGTGATCTCGAGTGAGATGCAATGAATAACCAGAAATGTCGGCAGCTATTTCCTTAAAATTTTACACTGGTAAAAACTCTTAAGTGTTTTTACATGATAAAAGTAAAATTAATAATTAATATGCACAAGTGAATAAGCTTAGTAATAAGTCATTTGGTAACTCAAGAAAATTGAATTATAAGATTTATCTATCAAAATTAAGTTTCCCATTAAAGTTAAGTTTTCATTTAATACTTTACAAATCTCTTAAATGCCCTAAAACATATCAGATCATAGAAATTAGTCACAAAAATTATGGCAAAAATATCTTGAAAAAAGATGAGGATTTTGCACATTTTGAATTTTATTAAGAGATCACAATATTACCTTTTTGAACAACGTAATTGCTTAAGCTTTGCAAGGTAGCAACAAGAAAATTTTTAAATCATTGAGCTTTTTAATCAAAAGTTAGGTTTTCATAAAATATGAAATAAAAAATATGATAATGTGAAATAAAAGGAAATAAAAATAAATAATATGAAATAAAAAATATTCGAGCTTCAAGGTGCAACGATGCCTTTGTGGGTAGAACTTTGTCCAATTTAGCGATTCTAGATGCCATGTTTCTCCATCAAAATTTAGCAATTCTAGGTGCCACTGTTTCTTCATAATGCAATCAAGTTCAAAAGACAATAAATTATGTTCTGCTAAGTGGTATCACACTTAGTGCTTGTTGCCACATTGGTGCCATCTGAAAAATAGGTAATATGTTGTGTTCTAAAAACAAAACATGGACGCTGAGTTTGTTTAGAGCACCTCCCTTGCGGCCACTTGTATTGCGTTGAGTGTTTCCGAGAAGCCGCTGGGAGATTGAACTAACTATGGCGGCTTTTTGAGTAATTAATAAATTTTAGTATATAGTACATTTTTTTTAGTTCTTGTGTAAAGCGAGCTATTTAATTATCAGTTTTACTGAGCTATTGACGGGCCCAGTGCTCTTATCTTGGTATCACATTTATTGCATCTATATTGCTCAGTTTTTTGACTAGATGTGAAATACAAATATCTTATGCTTCGCAGAATGGTAACACAAAATTTTAAATCCCTGATATTTTATTCGAGAGTTTCTTAAATTTGCACCAAATATGAAATGAATAAAAAATAGATTCAAAATTCTGGTTCTGAGGTGAACATGTTTGGGTGGAAGGACTATGTTTATTTAAAACTGTGTAACTTTAGGTGCCACAGTTTTTCCACGTGAACGGACTTTCCGTGTATTACAACAATCTTCATTATTTAATAATAAAGGTAGAAGTTCTTTACTCACCAGAAGCTTCTCAGGCAAAATTCCACTTTCTTTTAGAGCTACTTGAAGAGTACTAAAACATTCTCCAACATGTATAGAAGAATGGAAAAGAAAGCCACCTATAATAATAAAAGTTAGCACTTATCTTTTCTCATAACTTATTAAAAGAATGGTGTGATTTCATATATATATATTTGTCTTAACCTCATAATTAGTCAATTATACCAAAAATGTCATTCACAGTTTTCCTTCAAACTCACTTTCCTTCTCAAAAACAGTCATTTTTCTTTAGTTAACAAAGATTCATTTACTGGAAGACTTTGAATTTTGAATTATTGAAATTTTACTGAACTCTTCAACTATTAAATTTCATAATATGCATATCTATTGTGTATACCAAAATTGGCTAAATGTAGCATACAAATGCAAAGAAGACTGTAAATAAGATTCACTGTCATGTACACACGATTGTAAAATATTCATTGTAAAAATTCTGTAAAATATTCATTATAAAAACTCTGTAAAATATTAATTGTAAAAACTCTCTGTAAAAATTTCCAATAAATCTTTCGCACTGGGTGGGTTATTTTTTTTTTTTTTTTATTATTTAAATTAATTAAAAAACCCCTTTAGGTTTTTGTCCCCCCCCACCCCCCCCCCCCCCCCCCCTCCCCTGACGGAAACAAAAACAGCCCTTTGTGTTTTGTTTTTCCCCCCCCCCCCCCCTCAGTGGTACAAAGTGCAATGTCTTGGGCAATATCTTAATGAAATCCAATCTAACTCCAATCTTGATGAAATATAGCACACGTTTATTTTCCAAGCACGTCTGAAGGCCGGTGTACATAGTTTTCTCAAAAACCAACCCACAGGGTCTGCACTCTTTATATCGTATATTTTAGGCTAATTAAACAAACTTTTGATTAAAAAATCAGCGATTTAAGAGCTTTGTATTGCTACTCTGCAAAGTGTAAGATACTTGTGATTCAAATTTAATAAAAAAACTTGGTAATGAAGCGCACTCATGAAAAGGCAATAAATTTGTCTTTCGAATTAAATAAACAAACTTAGCAATTTAAAAGAAAAGTGCTGCCACTGTTCAAGTATTAAAAAAAGTTATTGGAAAAGGCAAACAAAACTATAGCGAAAGTACTTGAGTTACATTATCTTTACAGAAAGTGCACCCTACCATAGTTAAGTGAGCTTCAAGCAAATTCAAACTTGGTGCACTACCTTAGTGCAACATGAGCTCTTATATCAGGCTAATATGTTGCAATGAATTCTACATTAACCATTTTGATTTAGCATAACTTATGATTTAAACTAAGGAAATTTTAAAAAAAAAAACAAAAAAAAAAAAAAAAAAAAAAAAAAAAAAATGAAACCCCCCCCCCATTCTTTTTCCCCCCCCCACCCCCCCAAACCCCCCACCTCCCCCCCCCCCCCCCCCCCCCCCCCCCCCCCGCCCCTTTCCCACCCCCATTCCACCGCCCTTCCCCCCCCCCTTACCCCCCCCCTTTCCCCCCCCCCCCCCTCCCCCCCCCGCCCACCCCCCCCCTCTTCCCCACCCCCCCTTCCCCCCCCCCCCTCCCCCCCCCTCCCCCCCTTTCCCCCCCCCTTCCCCCCTTCCCCCCCCCCCCCCCCCCCTACCCCCCCCCCCCCCCCCCCCCCCCCCTTCTCCCCCCCCCCCCCCCCTAACACCCCCCCCCCCCCACCCCCCCCCCACCACCCCCCCTCCCCCCTTTCCCTCCCCCCCCCCCCCCCCCCCACTTTCCCCCCCCCCCTTCCGCCCCCCCCCCCCCCTCCCCCCCCCCCCCCCTCCCCCACCCCCCCCCCCCCCCCCCTTCTTCTGCCGCCCATTACCCCCCCCTCCCTTCCCCTCCCCCCGACCACCCCCTCTCCCCCCCCCCCGTTCCCCCCCCTCCCCCCCCCTCCTTCCCCCCCCCCCCCCCCCCCCCCCCTCTCCCCCCCCCCCCACCCCCCCCTCCCCCTTCTCCACCCCCCCCCCCCTTCCCCCTCCCCCCACCCCCACCCCCCCCCCCCCCCCCCCCACCCCCCCCCCCCCCCCACCACCCTTCCCCCCCCCCCCCCCCCCCGTTCCACTTTCCCCCCCTCCCGCCCCTCCCCCCCCCCCCCCCTTCTCCCCCCCCTTCCCCCCCCCCTTCCCCTTCCCCCACCCCCCCCCCCCCCCCCTTTCCCCCCCCCCATTTCCCCCCCCCCCACCCCCCCCCCCCCCCCCCCCCCCCCCCCCCCCCCCCTCTTTCCCCCACCCCCCCCCGCCCTTTTTTTCCCCCCCCCACCCCCCCCCCCCCCCCCCCCCCCCCCCCCCCCCCCCCCCCCCCCCCCCCTTCCCCCCCCCCCCCCCCACCCCCCCCCAAAAAAAAAACCACCCCTACGCCCCCGCCGCACCCCCGTCCCACCCCTCCCCCCTTTCCCCCCCACCCCCACCCCCCACCCCTCCCCCCCCTCCCCCCCCCTCCTCGCCCCCCTGCCCCGCCCCCCCCCCCCCCCACCCTTCCCTCCCCCCCGCCCCCCCCCCCCCCCCCCCCCCCCACCCCCCCTCCCCCACCCCCCCCGCCCCCGCCCCCTCCCCCCCCCCCCCCCCACCTTCCCCCATTCCCCCTCCCCCCCCCCCCTCCCCCCCCCGCCCCCCTCTCCCCCCCCCCCCCCCCCCCCCCCCCGAAAAAAAAATCACACCCCCCCCCCCCCCCCCCCCCCCACCCCCCTCTTTTCCTCCCTCCCCCCCCCCCCGTCCCGCCTACGGCCCTTTCCTTCACCTCTTCTGTCCTCCTTCTCTTATTGCCTTCTTCTGAACCCCCTCTCACTCCTCCTTTCCTTCCCTCAAAGTATGTACTAGCCGGAGAGCCATTGAAATAACACTAGTTGGATTCTTACAATCAACTTTTTCTCTCTTTAAATATATATAATATATATATATATATCTCTATACATATGGTGTTATATGAGTGATACACATTTAGAAGTACTGATGTAGAACACAAACACCATGCGAATAATGCAAAAATACTGATAGTGCGCACATAGATGACATATTGGTCGCACGTAGAAAGGGTGGTGTAACATCAGAGTGCCTGGGTCAAGAACCCTAATCCCCTTTCGAACATGTTAGGTTGTTTCAAATACCGTCATGAGTAATAACATAGATATAATACTTTTTTTTATATAAATTGATCATACTTTTTAGAATGGGTAATCAGATATTCTACAAAATAAGCATAGCAAGTTCCAATAGAGACCTAAAATGCCATCTGGAGAGCTGTAAAGGGGAAAAGAGTTGGCTTTTAACCTGAGTCTAGAGATCATACAATACGAAGTGTGGTCACTGGAGCACTTTAACTCATAGCAATAATTTATAAAGTTACAGTACAGGTAAAGTTAAGCTCAAATTAGAATGATGAGTACTAAGTATGCCATAGCCTTTTACAATTATTTGGTTTTATTTCCATCATACCGTAGACCCTTATACAGGTTGTTTGGTACTTGCAAGGTAGCATAAAAATTCAAAATATTTCAGTTCTTCAATGCCTAATTCATCATGAAGCTTTTGATTTCGAACATACTCCGGGCACCTTGGCGATCTTTCTTAAGAGGGGGCACACTTTTGTGCCTGGCTGTACCTTTTTCCTATAATTATTTGGCATGAATATGCCCAAAGCAGGCAGAATAACACGTAGCACGCAATCATTTTTATAAATAAGCACTTGTTATTTATTTGAAGGTACAACTTTCGATAAATTATGGGGGGGTGAAGCGTAGCTTTACTAACTCGAAACGTTTTAAGGATGATTTTCTGTGGGTACTAGGAGAGAGTTTACTGAAGATCAGCCAAGATCAAGGACTGCTTGCCATAGGATCTTCTCCATAAAGTTGCAGGTTTCTTGATTGAATTTGTTCTTCTTGGTAAAAGGATTGAGTCTGTATCTACTTTACTTTGATCTTCCCCTTTGTCAGCCATGTCTGAATATATTTAATGCAGTCTGTAATCATTGTACTGCTGGTCTGGGCTAATGAATTCACTTTGGTGAGAGGATCGCAGTGTCCCTCTGCATATATTGAATTTTTGGTTCTGTGTGGTGGGATTATCATTCACCTAAATACTGAATAAAGTGGTTTCCATAATCAGGCTTCCTGGGGAGCACGCAGCAGAATTTCCACTGTTGTTGATAGTGTATTTGAGACGTGCACGACAAAGTGTCTACCAGTTAGGTAGGATTTAACTATTTAACTATGTTTGTGATGCGGTATGGGGAGCCCAGGTTGTGTAGTTTGTAAATGAATGTGTCCGCCCATGCATGATCAAAGGCCTTTGCTATATCCAGGAACAGACCTCCAGTAACTTTCTTATTCTGCAGCCTTTCACTGATGAGTTCCACAACCCGATACAGTTGGTTGACCATCAAATGTCTGCTATGGAACCGAATTGTGAGGTAAGGATTATACTATTTTGTTCCAGATGGTTTGATTGATATCCTGTTGAGTGTACCCCGCCTACATAAGTTTGCTCAGTGAGGAGATAGACTTTTCGATTGTAGGATTCTGGTGAAATTGCCGGCTTCTTGGGTTTTCAGAAAATAGCCGTAATTTTTGGAGCCAACTTCTTCCAACTTTCTGGTAAGTCTGCCATCTGAGTAATAGGTTGATCATCTTTGTGAAGTACAGTAAGATCCACTGGGAATCTTTTGATCATCCGTTGCTGAATAGCATCGTATCCAGGCCTCCTTGTTTTTTTCAGCTTCTTTACATACGAGCAGACTCCGCGACTGACTAAAATCTGTTGTCCTGCTCGTGGCTTGTCATATAGTTGTTGTGAAAATCAATACTTAATGCTCTATTGTTGGGATCGAAATTGGTTTGTGCAAAACGAGATTTCAGATGCTGTGCTAAAATTCTGCTTTCTCAGTTTCTGTGTAATGGATCATTGCGGGCCTTTAAGGACAGAATATTGTTTGTATAACATGTTTTTGTACCTTTTTGAACGCTATCCATATAGAGTTGGCCTTATCCATATCTGCAGAGAGGGACTCTAGTAGTTTAGCCCAGCGAGGTTGGTGAATAATAATAGTGAGAGCTGACGTGTCACCACAGCCTATTTTTTGAAGAT